GGAAGGAAGGAAGGAAGGAAGGAAGGAAGGAAGGAAGGAAGGAAGGACAGAAAGCGAAGGGAAGGAAGGCGGAAAGAAACGCTTGAGAGGAAGAAAGGAATATATGAAGGACAAAGAAGGTTACAATCGCGTTCCCTCGGTTGTGCGCTGTTTGGGTTTGGAAAAGTGACCCCTTCCTTTGGGCACGCGACAGTTTTAAATAGGACGAGGGGCAATTTGTGAGCCGACTGAGGGCAAATTTTAGAGAAGAACATACTCACAGTCCTTTTGTGACCCGCACGAGGTAGCATACCTGCGTGAGGTTCAAACGTACGTAGCATAGCTTTTTTGTGACCAACCCGGCAGGAAGGAACCACTCCAACGTAGCACAGCTTTTGTGAGCCACCCAAGGTTAAAATTTATGAGGTTGAAGTTGAAATGCAGGATACCTTTTGTGCTCTTGTGAGCCACATGAGGGCAAAATTTAGAGGAGGAAGGGACCCTGTCGAAGTTCCACGGCGGTTCCGGGTGAGGCTGTCGGAAGTTCGCAAGGCGGCGCAAGGTGAGGGATGGTGTAGGTTCGTTGTGACTGTTGCCAGCTTCTCTTTTTGGAAGGGGCGGCTCAGGATCGTTTGTTCACAGAGGTTCCTTTGGGTAAGGTTCTCATGGGGAGCAAGCAAGTTTGTGCATTGGGACTGGATGCTGTTCTGCTGGATTCATGAGAGATTTTCCCGATTACACTGATTACACCGAGAGAAAGAGACAAGAGGAAAAACACAGGGACAGGGAAGATGATGGCAACTGCAACGTTTTTTTTTTCAGCGTTGCTGGCCTACCATCTTTAAAAAACCTTGTCTCACCTCACGGGGTGACACATCCAAATCAGATCCTTCCGGAGCTTTCGGATCGCCAGCGTTGTGGCTGAGGTGAAGGAGTGGTGGTGATTCATGACCTGACGATTGAAAATCCTGCAGGTTATTGGTCCACACATTTCCTTCACATCGGAGAGCTCTTGATCGACCTAGATCTGCAGAGCTTTATCACTTCCATGGGCAGCTGGTGACCGATATATAAGAATCTTTTTCAATGACGGCTTGGGGCTTGGGGCCGTGTAGACAGAAACGCTCTTTTCCACCACACTCAGGGATTCTTCCAATGTCAGTGCAGGGTTGCACTATGTATCTTTTCCTGCTGGTATCATCGCGTATCAGCTCTTACATAATTAGTCTCAGTTTGCCACAGCAGATGAGTCAGGATGTGTAGAGGTTGCGTTCCGCGCTGAGGCAAAGAGGTGGTGATCCAGCGGCTGGAGCTACGTGATGTGGAAGTGATTTGGGAAGGTGGTCTTGTGAGCATCCTGGAGTGAAACATGTGGATGTGGACATGTGGATATGCTTCGAACAAGACATACAATATATACATAGATTGGCGTCAAACACATTTAATAGCCACAATACCCGTGGCCTGGAGGACTTCAAGGTCACTACCAGCTGTCAGTGGGAGGATGTGTCAGGCTGGGCCAGGCATTTTGGAGTAGTATTGGGCAGTCAGATTGCCTCCAGGAGGGTCGGCGTGCTTAAGGCTGTTGGGATTGCTCCCAGGCTGTAGGGTGATCGTGCACAAAGAAGGGCCAAGTCCTTTGGATTTTCATGCCAAAGGCATTAGTGCCACTTTTCTCGGCGCAGTTCCGGGACGTCCCCTCCATGGTGTTGGCTGAGGTTCCAACATGCGGGACATCCTCAAGTGCATGAGTGGTCCGAAGGATGACTCCAATCAATCCGACAAGAATCGGCAAAAGGAAGGCGCGGAGACCATGTTTGAGGCCCCCCCACCTTTGCGAAAAGATTCCAAGCGGGGTTTGGCCAGCAAAAGCTGGACCTGTGATCTCTGAGCCGAAGAGTTTGAAAAAGACATTGGAAAACCACATAACACCATGTCAGTGGAGTCTCTGATCGCTTGGTTCGATGGGGCCGGTCCCCTGCTGCTGCCGCCTGAGGTGGTGAAAGGCGAACAAGCGTCCAAGAGGTCCTTGCACAAGATATCTCCTTGAAGCTCGCCAGTTATTGGTTTTGTGGTTCCGGTCCACGTATCATGGTAGAGGACTTCTACTCCCAGAACCTCGACGAGCACCAGATGGGAGAGCTAGAGATCCCGCAATGTCTCCTCACCATGTTGCTCTCCAGCATTTTGGCCAATGTGCTGGGCCAAAGCATTGCACGATTTATCATGGATGGCACTTCCTTTGGATTCGCCGCCGTGGCGCACGGCATTTGGCACCTGGTCGTTCTGATGCGCTCCGCGTGCTGCTGCCCACCCAGCCCAACCAAGCGAGACCGCCCCTCAAGGCCCAAAAGGCCGAGAGCGGAGACAGAGAGAGGTTCGAGCACAGGAACCTGTGGCAGTTGTGGCTCCTGCTTGCCCTGCGAGACTCTTCTTCAAAAGAGCCCCGGCCTGTTGTGTGTGTGTGTGTTTTTGTGTGTGTTTTTGTGTGAAATTGCACGAATCACGAATCATACACATATATACTATTATGTTACGCAATTAGTTTTGTCAATCTGTCAACATCAATAACGTCAGATACAAGGGCGGGTGTGTTTGTACCGGGTGCATTGACATTGGGAGGTTGGATCTGAGATGAACGTGCGACACATGTGGCACAATTGTTCAAGCAAGATCATTTCGGAGTCCATGAGCATTTCCCCAAAAGATGAACACACACACAAACACACATAGACACACATAGACGGTATATATATATATATATGTGTGTGTAATGCATGTAATTATTGCACCCTGTGAAACTCAGGAAGCCTGCAGCCAAACCATCGGGCAACACCTGAGAATTTCCAAGCTCGTGCGAAAACATGTATGGGAGAAAAAGATGCGCCTTGCAGAGATGCTACAATGTGAGCCATGTGTAAGAAGCTTCCGCCATTGGAGCTACCATGGTGGATCAAATTCGGGGGCCGGGATGGGGTCATTTGCCGTGATAGCCTGAAGCCACATGGCCTGAAAGCCTGAAATGTGGCAAGTGAAACGTGAATGCAGATGCAAATCAGCTTCCCACCATCCTAAGCAATCTTTTTCCGCGGATGTGCAGGGTCAGTGTTCATGGTGCTGCAGCGACGGTCCTTCTCATGGTGTTGGCGCCAAGGAAAAGCTTGATCAATTTCATGCCTGGATTCTGAGCAGCAGCCTGGCATGGTGAAACTGACCACATGAAACCGACCAGGTCAGCAGGGGTCCAAGGGGGTCCCACAAAGTATCAGGACCGCCCTTCCTCAGTTCGACTCCTCGTTGGATGCATATGGTTCGACGTCAAGATTTCTTTTATAGAATGGGTGACCTCAAGGCCCATATAACAGCATTTGTTTTATAAGAACATGACGCTTACTGTAAAGGCACATCATTTTGTAAAAACCAGAGGGTAATGACGTTGGGGCCCCTCACTTTATATAGGTTTCGTGGTGGAAACGTTAAGATGTATCGACATTGGCGCCTTTCATTTTGTAACAGAGGCATGTTGCGAGAAAACCTATCATTTTGTAAGGCTTTCGATGCCCTAAACAATAATTACGTAGAATGTCAGTAGAATGTGGTTTTCAGTTGTTTTCCTCTCTGGATCTACTTGGCAAAAATATATATATATATACAATAAAATATATACACGTATGTACCCTGATGCCATTTGAGTGGTCCTAGGATTCATTACTTATGCGTTTTATTGATGCATAAAGCGTGCTTGCATTCTGTAAGGATGTTAAAATGCCAACATTTGGACGCCAATGGGCCCTCCGTTTTGTACAGTAAAGGATTTTGATCATTCTGGCATGATCAGACAGACATATTCGGGATCAATGAAATTTGTGATGTGGGGACTTGATTTTGTAAGGATTGGGCACTGCCTGGCCCTTGCTACAAAATGATTTGTTTTGCTTGCTCTCCCAGAGTCTCTTCAGAAATGTGCATGTTGTATCCCCGCCCTATAGAATGAGTGAGAAAAAAACAATAGGAACCGCTGCGAAGCGGATTAGCCCTACAAAGGGCATGCTTTTTAGACCAAAACTTTGACTAACCAATTTTTTGAACATTTTGTTGAACTAAAACTTGGTGTGCCCAAGTTTTGGTTAAAACCAACTTGGGTACACCAAGGTTTTGAAACTCGTATCCCTGGAACCTCATTTTGTAGCAGTGTAACTTGAGAACCCACAATTCTGTAGAAATTTCCAGGGAAACACGCATTTTGTACACAGCTTTTTATACACAGTGTTCTGCAAAGGTGCCTGTTTTGCATGGCTTGGCCAAACATTGGACTCTACAGACACTTTTCTTACAGAACGATATGGCCTACGACTTCATGGAAATTTGATATTTGTGACTGTCATTTTGTAGTGATCAGGCCCTGATTTTTTACATCCAGGTTCACGACTTCGAGAAACTGACCTATGGGCAGAAAAAGCTTGCACCAAAATCATGTAAAACGCATAGAAATACATACACATATCGAAGAGTCACGCCATAACGCCATATAGAATCGCGGGACCCGACGTCACTTTTCTAACTTTTGGGGCTCCAACCCCAATGACTACAAATTGGCAGGCTGCAACCCCTACTTTATCCTTGTATGTTTATTCAAAAAGTGATTCCGCAGGAACATAACTAACCACGACCATCGTTACAGTAATTACAGAACGGTTTTTAACTATACCGTGCCCAATCATTTTGTAAGGTCGCGCCCCAGAGGTTGGGTCCCCGGCCGATTATATATATATATAGATTGTATGATTATATTTAGAATGGTTGGCCCCGACGTCGCCCATGAAATAATGACGATGCATATGGCTTCGGGACAGACCGACTCTCCAAAACAATCTCTTCCTCCGACGAGCAAGTGAAACAATGTGAAACATTTACACACTATGCCAGGCTGTTTGTACCAAAGCTGCTGGATGGCATCGAACGGCCAAGGTAAGGACGAGATCCTCGACGGCGTCGAGGCGACCCCTCATTGGGCGAAAACGGCCCGGGCGAAACATCACAGCCGCCAGTGCCGGATTTTTGATTGCGGTTTCTGTGCTGTGGTTTGTAAGAAGCTTGTCATAAAGGTTATTGAAACTAGGAGAGGTCTGGAACCGAGATGAACCAAGATGTTCCGAAGAGGCCGACGAGGTTCTGTTCAAGCAGTGGTCTGGTTTGACATAACGTACTTGTAGGATGACATAGGTATGTTCAGGTCAAGTTCCACTATATAGAGTCCTGGAACTGCTTAGGTGTAAGACGTGATTTGATAGGTACTTCGGCCCCTTAACACACCGCAAAACCCATGCACCCTCTTCTTACCTTTATAGCATGCACTTGGCGCTGGTCAGTCATGCTCTTTTTCTTGGTGGGTTGCCGCCTGCAGCCTACAAAATACAATCCATCAAACCAGGCAACTTATCAATGTTTTGTGATTAGATACCGAACTGAGTTCCAATACATGTTACAATGTTGCTGAATGGGTATCTTTTTTTGACGATGTAAGGCCCCCTTTTCAAAGGCAAGATGGATGGCCTGCGCGAGTCCAGAGCGTATGGAAACCCATTCCACCCTGCTTGGGGTTTGGAAGACCTGGAAGATGCTTCCACAGACTCCACAGATGGTCCGAGCCTTTTTTTGCGGAGGCGGTCGGCGATTTGGTGGGTTTGTGCTCCTTGCTCTCAGTGACTGGGACCAAATTGACAAGGAATGCAACAGGTGTCAAGGTGGAAATTACACATCTATACACTTTTTGATGACTTTGTCAATGGGTAATGGCTGCATAAGAGATGGCTGATGGCCCGACTTCTTTGATTGTCTCTCCTTCGTGCGGAAGCCTGATGTCTGAGGCCTTGTCGACCCACTCCGCCACGCTGTCTCCGGAGAACTTCTCTCAGCTGGCACCGTGCCTTGCAGGAGATAGACTGAAAGCATTGAAACATCACAAGTCAAGCGTTCTCAGACGGGCCGTTCCCATCCTTACTTCAGGAAAGGGTGCCCCTTGGCCTGGGGTGCTCCTTGGAGGTTCAACTTTGGAAGCTCAGCCCAGCTGGGCCTAAGAGGTTCCCAAGCCAAATCGGGCAACGTCGCTGCCAGAGAACTGGTCCCAAGGCTTTTGATCCTCCTGGCCGACCTGGCCAGCAAACGTGGTGCCGACCTTGGCAGGTCCCGTTTTCGGTTGGACGCCGAGCACCAGGACGGAGTCTGACACAATGAGAGCATAGTGAGGGGCGAGCCGGAGGACGCTGAATGTAATAGGCTACATCTCTCTCTGAGTCGGATTCCTCCGGGATATATTTGATATTATCATATTTGAAGCTGGATCCGTTTGGTGTGCTGTTCAACTCTCAGGTCACATGGACAGCAAGTGCTGCTGATGAGTACTTTTCCCTAATTCATTGCGTGCACTTCGTTATCCGCGGACGGCCAGATCCGATGGCCACTTTCCATGGCCAGTCATCACCGGCGTGGGGAGTTTTGCTGCTTCATCTTCCTGAAGTCACATTGGGCCACAAGTACCATGACTCATGGAGATGTACGACTGAAAGCTTTTTTGAAAGCCCGGTGAGGGGTAGGCCGAGGAGGGAGGTAGTAGCTAGGTAGTAGCTAGGTAGCTAGTAGAAGCACAAGGTAGCTAGTACCTTACTTGAGCTACTACCTACTGGATGCAGGAGCGCTCGCACTATTCATTTGGTGCCTAGGTTTTTAGGGACACTCATGATGTCGGGCTTGTCCTGGTGGACACAGGTGGACTTGTTCGGTGTTTCGTGGTTTAATGAGGAGGTGCTCTTCAGAGTCCGAGTGGGACAAGAATCCCTTTCTCCAGAGGTCAATTGCTGGTGGCATCTGTAGAGGTCTAGGCAATCTGCCTCCCAGGTCCCAGGCACATTGATGTGACATGTCATGTTTTCGTAGCTTTTGATTGACATTTCGATGTGGGGCCTCTCCACATCTAGGTCTTCAGCAATCATCCTGTGCAGTCCCTGAACGCCACTGGTCGTCCACGATGACAGCTGTGAATCCAATCACAATTTCGGCGCCCATGAGGGTGTGCCACGCTGTGTAAACAGCGCAGCATACAGCCTGGCAAGAGGCTAGGGCTCCAGGTTTTTGGGCTTTTTTGGATGCATTTTTTCGCCCGTCCGGACCTGAACCACTGAGCAGACCCGTCAGGTTGTGAGCAGTTGCAAGTCAAGCCCCCATACAAGTTCAGCTCCAAAGGGCAATATGTTTGGGAGAATCAGCTGGAGGATTCAGCTCCAAACGCATGAACACATTGTATTGGCGAGGATGTGCCAGTTCTTGACAATCCCGGTAGCTCATTGAGACTCAGTGGTGTGGTCATTTTCGCTGCTGATCAGCGATGACCGGCTTCCCATGTTGGGAGGAGACCCACAGCAGCCTCCAGAAGACTCCAGTTGTTTGGCGCATGAGAGTGTGCTAACCTGGACTTGCAAGGATCCAAAGCGGGGAATGAGCATGAATGGGCTTTTGTTTTGTTCCTAGTTCAGGGTTTCCCACCCTCAAGTCTTTCGCCAAAGTGTGAGACGGTCCCAGCGGTCTTCGGCTGTATCGGAGGACAAACTTGAAGCGCACAAGGAATCCGTGCACATAGAATTGCATATGTGCAAATCACTATGTCTTTATCATATACAAACAAACATCTTCCAAGATATTATTTGTGCATAGAAATATGTGTCAGAATTGGATCCTTCCCTAAAAGCTCCACACTTGACCACAAAAAGACGTGTGTCTCTCGACTTTGGAGGCTGGTGGTTGCTCATTTTGCGGCACTTCATGCGGGCAGTGAATTTCTTCGATT